GCATCTTAGATATACTTAAGAGCATCACATTCATCATTTTTTGCATACATAATTTTTACAGCTTTTAGAGTCAATTTCAACTTCACAACGAAGGATATTGGACTCAACAAACAACTTTCTAGTTTCATTTAGAGTCAATTTCAACTTCACAACGAAGGATATTGGACTCAACAAACAATTTTCAAGTTTCATTCAGAGTTAATTTCAACTTCACAGCGAAGGATATTGGACTCAAAGCAATGCAACCCTTGGATTTCAACTTCAAGACGAAGGATATCCAATTCAAAGCTCAATTTCACAACGAAGGAACCATCCACGATTTCAACTTCACAACGAAGGATATCGTGCCCATAAGTGGCAATGCAACCCTTGGATTTCAACTTCACGATGAAGGATATCCAATTCAAAGCTCAACTTCACAACGAATGAGCCATCCACGATTTCAACTTCACGACGAAGGATATCGTGCCCACAAGTAGCAATGCAACCCATGGATTTCAACTTCACAACGAAGTATATCGTGCCCACAAGTAACAATGTAACCATTGGATTTCAACTTCACGACGAATGATATCCAATTCAAAGCTCAACTTCACAACGAATAAGCCATCCACGATTTCAACTTCACGACAAAGGATATCGTGCCCAACAGATCGACTTGATTTCACAACAAATAAGTCATCTACAGCAACATGGGTTTATTCCCCAGCCAAGTACAATATAGCTTAAGGTAAGAAGGGCTATTTATCATCAAATACCTTCGAGTTCGATTACATTCAACTCAAAGACATATCAAATTTACAGTATAACTCGAGGCTAGAAGGGTTGTAGGTCAACAAAAACCTTCGAGTTCGATTACACTCTGCTCAAAGACACATCATTTGCAGCATAGCTTAGGGCAAGAAGGGCTATCTGCCAACAAAAGACCTTCGAGTTCGATTACACTCAGCTCAATGGCAAATCATTTGCAGCATAGCTCAAGGCGAGAAGGGTTATCTGCCAACAAAAGACCTTCGAGTTCGATTACACTCAGCTCAAAGGCACATCATTTGCAGCATAGCTCAAGGCGAGAAGGGTTATCTGCCAACAAAAGACCTTCGAGTTTGATTACACTCAGCTCAAAGGAACATCATTTGCAGCTTAGCTCAAGGCAAGAAGGGTTATCTTCCAATAAAAGACCTTCAAGTTCGATTACACTCAGCTCAAAGGCACATCATTTGCAGCATAGCTCAAGGCGATAAGGGTTATATGTCAATAGAAAACTATCGAGTTTGATTACATTCAGCTCAAAGGCATATCCTATTTACAGCATAGCTCAAGGCGAGAAGGGTTATCTGTCAACCAAGACCTTCGAGTTCGATTACATTCAGCTTAAAGGCATATCAAATTTACAACATAGCTCAAGGTGAGAAGGGCTATATGTCAACAAACACTGTCAAGTTCGATACCATTCAACTCGAGGATGTACTCTCCGAAGGGTAGCATCAAGGAACTACCTTCCGAAAGAATTTTTAAGCCGAAGTCTTTAAATAAAGAAGAATACCAAGGCCCAATTTCAGGCTCAATCCGAAGCCCAATTACAGTTGTTCCCTAACAACGAACACATAAAAGGAAGAAGAGAATCAGACAAAAACTGGTTGTCTTTTTGTCATTGCCCTATTCTTGTTGACACAAAATGTGCAAAGAGGGGCAGTTGTAGACACCCGTTTTGTCCGGGTCAAAAAAATCAGCCACCAACAACAATATTCCAGTCAATCTCCAAGACTTCTTGAAGCCGCCATCGTCGTCACATACATTAAGAAATACCCAAAGTCAGTCATATCAAGCCCAAAGTAAAAAAAAAAACAACAATAAATCCCATAAAATCTGGGATTTTACCTACTCCAAAGAAATCATTACATGCAACAACCATTATAAAATGAGGAGGGATTCATACTTGAAGGAGGGGGAGTCGAAAACAAATAAAAAGAGAGGGAAGAGAACGAGAGGCTTACCACGATCGTCGGAGGCTTCAAACATCGTCGGAAGAGTCGAAACATCGAAGGTAAAAATTTAGATCTACGTCGATTTATAAGTTTTTAGAAAAAAAGGTTGTCGGATTCGACTTTAGGGTGGTGAGAGCTTCGATTTGGTGTATTTTATATTTTTCGGCCACCGTGAATAGTGACCGGCGGTGGCGGCGCACGGTGGCCGATCGTTGATCGGTTTCCCTCCGGTGAAGAAAACTATAGAGAAGTGAGAGCTTTTCTCTCTTAGAGAGAGAAGCAAAAATGAAAAATGAGAGATGGGGAGGCATTTAGGCATGTTATGGGATATAAATACCCTCCCCAAAACTACGTCGTTTTGGGGAAGAACCTCTGTGTCATTTTAAAAATGGGCAAACCTCGTCCTCAGTTCCTGTAATTTATAACTTTTACATTTTAGTCATTAAATTTTAATTTTCAGCATGTTAATTTGGATTTCGAATTTTACTATGTTTACATTTTAGTCACTAATTTATGTTTTTATTCGAATATGGCCTAAGAATTTATGCATGTTTTATTTTGGTCACTAGTGTAAATTATTTTTCTTTTATTTTAGTCTTTTAATTGTGAAATAATTTTATTTTAATTAGTCTTTTATTTGATATTTTGAAATTATTATTATTATTATTTCCTAAATTTTATATTTTATATTTATTTTTTATAAATTAATATTTTATTTTTTTATATTAATATTTTCTTAACTTTTATTTTAATTTTTATGATGTTATTTTACCTTATTATTATTATTTTTAATTTAACCTCTTAAAATTATTTCTTTTGTTTAGCATTCAATATTTTATTCTACCATCTAATATTTTGTTTGATTTTTTCAGTAGTAATTTAAATCGATAAAAGGTAAGTAATTCGAATTGAATTTTTAAATTTCAATTTAAATTTTAACTTTCACAATTAAGACAACCGACAAATTAAATGGTACCGAAAGGGCAGTTTAAGTGTATTAATCATTCCTTGACTATAACCAACTCCCGAACTCGTTTTAATCGAATCTTTGTAAACGCAAACCAATTTTTTGTCTTAAAAATAATTTTTCTTAAAATTGTTTTTAAAAGTCATTTTTAGGTATTTGACCTACCTAACCCAAAGGTTGATGTCGACTCTTTCAATTTAATTTCAAAATCCCTAATTTTTCAAAATTAAAGTCGTAACTATTTTTTAAAACAATAAATAATTGTTTCACCCGAAAAATAGTTATGACAATATTATCAACATGTTAAATCACTTCCTTAGCCTCTTCCAACTGGTGCAAATATTGATTATCCTCAAGCACAACATTAGCCTTTTTAAGCACAACTATTATGTATATTATATACGAAAGAAAAATGAAGAAATATATATGTATTGAAATCAAATAATATCATAATATTATAATTATTTATAATTAAATTTAGACAGAAACTTGAAAACTCGACTTGATAAGAAAAAATTTCAAGTTCAGTTCAAGTTATAAAATAGGATTCATCAACTCGGATAACTCGAAATTTTTATTTGGCTCGACTCAACTCGATCGAATGCTCATTCCTAACGGACGGGTGACCAGTACGAGTGTGAAAAAAATCTGATCTGTTGATCCGATCTAAATATTCAGATATCTTATCCGTCTTTTAATTTTGGATTATTCAAATCGAATATCCAAAAAAAATCAAATAATCATACTAGATACGGATCGCTGAAACTTCAGTTTCGGATTATTCGAAAATCCAAAAAAATTGACCTTTAAATGATTTTATTCTGGCCCAACAGTTGCATCCCCCACCCAGCTTGATTTTTTTCTAACTTTTAAATTATTTATTTTTCAATCTTTTAAATAGATATTAAGTATTTGTTTTAAAATTATTCAATATGTTTTGATAAATATATAGTAGAGGTATAAACTATATTGTATAAAGTTATAATTTTTTTTATTAAATTAAAGTTTATATTTGTATTAGGATATCTAGATATTTGATATGAACATTCGGATATATAAAAGTTCGGATATCCAAATTTTTTTAGATCGGAAACGGATCACAATTTTATGATACAAAATTTCGGATTAGATAAAATCTTATATCTGAAAATACACACTCCTAGTGACCAGAGATGATCGACCGTAGGAATAAAGGGATTAAAATTATAGATTTTCTTTTATTTTAAAAGAAAATTAAGGTATTTTTAAAGATAAAGATAAAAGATAATAATAATAATAATAATAATAATAATAATAATAATAATAATAATAATAATAATAATAATTTTAAAATTTAAGATTTTAAAAAATTATAAACATAATACGTGTTATTTAATAAGTTTTTTTAACTACTGTCACAACTCAAATACTTAAAATTATAACATTAATAATGTTAAACACATAATTTAGGTATTACTTTTTATTTAGCCAAAATTTTAACAGAAATATACTTTGAGATAATTATTTAGGTGTCAAAATGTAGGGCTAAGCAACGAAACTGATAAAATCTAAAAATTAACACGAACCGAGTAAAACGGTTTGATTCGGTTCAGTTTGACATTATACGGTTCGGTTTTCGGTTCGATTTAAAGTTTTAATTCTTTTGATTCAGTTCGGTTCAAGTTGGGTTTTTCATATAGAACTCATTTGTTTCATATTGAACCGAATAGACAATTTTTTTAAAAAAATTTATAATTTCAAGTGATTTTTTCATTGAAAAATAGATAAGCCGAACCAAACCGAATTGAAAAATTCGAACTGTTAAAAAAGTTGAACAGAACCGAAAATATCGATTTCAATTTTTTCGGTTTTTTAATTATTCGATTTCGGTTTTGGTTTAAATTTTAAAAAACCGTTTATTTTGATTCGACTTAATATTTGATAAAAAATCGAATCGAACCGAACTGAATACACCGGTACCGAAATGTTAATATCCAGAGGGAGAAGATAAAAGGCAAAAAATCAGGGCGTGTCAATCACGTACACTGAAAGGCGGTGGTGGAAAAATCGAACAGCTGATCTCTTTCGATTTGGTTACTTCATGGCCACATAATACTCTCCTCTTAGCTGTAGATTTTTCTCTGATATCTCCCCCCTATGGTTGCCTCCAAACCCAAGCATGGCTATTTCTCTTAACTCAGTCTTCGGCTTCAATTTTAAGGTAAGAAACCCGAATCTTTGTCTTCTTTTATAATTATCACTACTTTACTTTTCGTTTCTCTCTGCTTGTTTTATACAGTTTCTTGTAAATGTATTTGCTTCATAGCCTTTTCAATAGTTGAAAACTTAAGTGGTTGAAGCAATAATAATGAAAACAAGAATGGATTAATGCAAGAACTTGTTTTCTTTGTCTGGTTTCCTTTTCCTTTCTTTAATCTTAACAGTATGGGGATCTCTGGTTATTGATTTTAGCCTAATTCATTTCCATATGTGAAAGCTTGTCATTTCATAGTAGTGTTTGGTGCGTTATTTAATGTAGTTTATGGCTATATATACATGCGTATTGGATTATCTTATCTATTGAAGTTGCAACTCGAATTTCAGTATGTCACGAGATCTTCTGTTGGAGCTTCAGTGTTTAAGGCAAACACCATCGTTTCTCCCTTGCAAATGTATGGCTCTGGGGGATTTATACACCAAAAAAGATGGGGACTATGTCTTTCACTCGCGGACAGTGACCCACTATCTGCTGATAGCAGCATAAAGGCTTCCGAAGAGGCCGAGAGACTGGTTTCCGATGATCGAGATTCGGCCATGAATCCCCCATCATTGGATGATGAATCGCGCTCTCAAAACTCTGAGGCTAGTAATGGTTCAATGGTTTCTTCAATTCCAGAGCAGGATGTGTCATCGTCTCCAAACTTGCAGTCTACGACAAGAAAAGTTTCTTTAACAGCTAAAGAAAGATTAAGGGCAGCTCGGGTTCTCAGCCGTTATACAGAGTCGAAGCCATCAAAATCAGAGATGGGAAGTAAAGTATTGGATGCTATGAGGGAAGGTGATAAGGGGAAAAAGAGAAGTCGACTTCCTGAAGCACCTACGAATTTGTTCGATGACAGCAAGCGAGGATTACCAAAGCCAGGCCTCACGTTTCAGTTTCCAGGAGGAAACGATCTCCTTCTCATCATCTTCTCGGTGGTCTTTATCAGCACAGTAATGTTCACTACAACTTACATAGTATGGAAAGTTGGGGCTATACATTTTAATGAGTACTAGGGCTACAATAAGGTTCAAATGTTCAAGCACCATCACTGAAGATGGCATGGCATCTTTGATTTCAGGTACTGTTGATGTATACATGGATGTAAAAAACAATTGTGATAATGATGTTTTATTATCAATGCTTAACATTTTTGGCCTCGTATATTGTCTGGCTTGTTTAAAACAGGATGTTTTATTATCAATGCTTTAAGTAAAGTCTCAAGTTCGAGTATTTGTGTATGTGGAAGATCCCTACGGGAAGATTCACCCACCAAAGTCATGTGCGACATGAATCGTTCACGATTAGTCAAGACGAAGCATCGAACCGGGAGGGCAACTAAAAAAATATAATTTAGAAATAAAGTTCTGTACTGCTGACAAATGTGTTGATGAATGTCAACAGGAATTACAAGTTAACACAGCTAATCTTAACATGATGAATTCTAAGACGAATATCAACAGGCTTTTACAAGTGAACAAGCTTCTGGTTGGAAACAAGTGCGATCTAACTGTAAAAAAAAAAAAAAAGAGAGTAAATTATGCATTTAGTATTTAAACTATCAGTTTTGATCTATTTTAATATCTAAAATTTCATTTTTTATATCATACCTAACTTTTAATTTTTGTTTCATTTTAATATTTCATTGTTGAAAATTTAACGACACTAATTTTTTTATTAGTAAATTATATAATTCAACACTTAATTATCTTTTCACTCATATTTTGATACTAAAATTTAAAACTTTCAATTTAACTACTTAATTTTCAAATTGATCATATTTTAATTACTCGAATTTATTTTATTAATAATTTTTGTGACATGACATTTTTTTGTTTTATTACTTTTTTGTCTCATAAAAGATGTTCATTATTGATTTTTTTGGGGTCAATTTTTAAACTTTGACTAATTTTTGTTTAAAATTTATTATTGATAAAAATATACAAAAATATATTTTAAAAATCTTCAATCAAGTAGTTTTTAAATATATATTTTATAAAATTTAATTATTTAAATATTTAAAATACTCATGGTCAAATTTAACAATTTTGACTTTTAAAAAGTCAATAAGGGACATTTTTTATAGGATAGAGGGAGTAATATATAATTAAAAATAAGAAAATAAAATTGAAAGTTAGAGTGATTAAATTAGGAGTAATTTGAAAGTTAAGCAATTAAATTAAAAAAATTAAACTTTAGCGATCAAAATAAGAGTGAGAAGATAGTTAAGTGATGATGATGCAATTTATCCATAAAGAAGGTTCCATGTGCAAATCACTTGTTAAGTTTCTAACGGCGATGTACTAAAATGAAACAAAAATTAAACGTTAAGTATGATTTTAAAAAATTGAAAGTTTAACTACTAAAATGAATCAAAATTGATAGTTTAAACACTAAATGCGTAATTTACCCAAAAATGATTTCTTAAAAGATTTAGAGACTGTTTGTTTGCCTTTTAATGGAATCATTCAGTGTTGAATGCTGAACCGTTCAGCATTCAGCGTGTTTGTTTCGTACCTCTGAATGATTCAGTGCTGACTGATTCAGCAAAACAGTGCTGAATGATTCAGCACAGAAGTACATTCTTAATTATTCAAAGTCATTATCAAACAACATGTCACATTCAGAGTTAATTCATACAGAGCCTCTGAATCATTCAATATTTGAATCATTCAGCGCTTAATCATTCTGAAGTAAACAAACAACCCCTTAGCGTTGTATCTCACTAGATCATTTTTTGTGTGTGTAGGCGTAAGGTAGTATCTTTTTAAAGATAAATTCAACCATTTGACGTTGAACGCTCATACTTCTAATATTGTTGGTGCTTGAACTCGAATCCTCAATAAATAACAACAATTCCTTTACACCAAGGTCACTAGGATTCGTGCATCTCACTAAATCAATTAATTATTGGTGAATATAATATATTAATATAATACTTTAAACACGATTTAGGTAAGATATATAATTATAATGTAAAAATCATTATCATACAATTTCTTAAAATAATTTGAAAATAAGATATTTATTTCTGGTTTTGAAACAGAGGCAGTTATAACTTCCTTGCCACTTCCAAACCAACTGTATCCATGAAAACAAACTCAACTGAACTGATTTATTAATTAAAAACAGTTTATTTATTATTATTATAAATATCAAGAGAGAAACTGAAACAGTTTTACGGCTCACACAACCAACAACCTCCGTTTAAAATTAAAACGCTGTTTCTCTTCTCAAAATATCAAGCTTTGATCATAGATTTTGAGTTTTTTTTTTCTTTTACATTGTTGAAGATGATCAATTATGGTGAACGTGTCAAAGGTTCATGGAGCCCACAAGAAGATGCTAACCTGATCAAGCTAGTGGAACAACATGGTGCCCGGAACTGGTCCATGATAAGCTTGCAATCCCTGGAAGATCCGGTAAGTCTTGCCGGCTACGGTGGTGCAATCAGCTCAGTCCCGCCGTGCAACACCGTCCTTTTACAGCTGCAGAGGATGCTGTTATTATTCAAGCGCATGCTGTTCACGGGAATAAATGGGCTACAATTGCTAGGTTGTTGCCGGGACGTACGGATAACGCGATAAAAAATCATTGGAATTCGACTTTAAATCGGAAACAAAAAACCGAGTTGTCATCCGGGTCATCGGAGTCAATCTCCGGGGTGAAACGGCGAAGCCAGGATGCGTCCGAGTCTGAGTCAGGGAATAAAAAGCAGTGTCTAGGATTGATGATGCCGGAGCATGAGGTAAGGTTATCGGGGCCCAAGACGTTGCTGACGCTATCTCCGCCAGGAGAGAGCGTGGCAGCAGTGGAGGAGGAGATGGTGGTAGCGAAAAGTGAGGAAGGCGGTGATGGTGGTGAAGGTGGAGAAGAGAAAAAGAGAGCGGCGGCTGTGGAGGAAACAACATGCTTGTTGAACATCATGCGACGTATGATTAAAGAGGAGGTTAGGAGATATATTGATAGAATAATAGCTGATCAAAAGCAATGAAAATGAATGTTCCAAAACCAACAATCCCTCTCTTTTAATTTCTTCTCCTCCTTCCTTTTGTTTATTTTAATGCAATAACAGAAACAGAAAGAAACTACTTAGATCTTTGCCTCATCTTTCTTCTCTTCCTCTTGAACATATGTCGAAACAATTTTTTCCTAAAAGGTGAAAAAGGTAAAAACTATATTAATTTTTAATTATCTTCTTTTTAATTTAAAAATAAATACGATTTAAAAGACACTATCGTTTCGAAAAATTTTAGATTTCCTTTATGATCGAAAAAATACGGTTCGAAGAGTCGTCACCAATCTTTGATTAGGGTGTGATTGGGTACCCAAAAACATTTTTGTTATTTTAAATAAAAATTAATTTTAATTAAAACAACAAGTTAAAGTCTGCGTTACCAAAATCGAGTTCGAGAGTCTATTACGTATGGGAAAGGATTAGCACCCCCACAACGCCCTAAATCGGTACCTAGTCGATTAATTAACGTCTTTGTAATGAACCTTAGAAATTCGAATTTAATTTGACTTTTGATCCCATAAAACAAAGATGTGAATTTAATAATATTCAAAAGCACCCAAATAAATTAAATTAAAATTACCAAGTCGTTTTAGAAAGATAAAAAATGTTCGATTATTTACAAATATCGAGACCAGATCTTAAAAGCTATAACAACATTTTCTCGATAAATTTAAATAGTCGAACATTTCTTTTTCTTCCATTCCCAAATTTTAAAGTGATGGATCAATATTTAGGCGTCACTAATGGGATACACTTTTATTTTAAAATCATTAAAAGCGGACCTCAAATGCGTTATGACAACCCACTTAAAACAATTTTAAATTAAAAGTGTATTACCCTTAATCTTATTATGTAATATGTCGAGTTATGCAAATGAGGTTACCATACAAATCGTGCAAAAAAAAAGTGTATTGTGATTTAATAACCACTAGAATAGTAAATATAATTTAAAGACAAGAACACATTATATATAAACTACCCTTAAAATAAATTAAAAAAAAATTATATAATGCGTATATATATATATATATATAATATTATGCACATCTTATGAGTTAGAAGACATGGAATTTAAATCATGCATTACATATATGGTTATTTCCATAATAAAGGCCATAATACCAATATATATGTGTTAAACACATATTAAACATTAGATCACCAAATACACCAATTATAGCATATTCCACCCATAACTTAAGCAAACCAAAAAATGTATCACACGGGCATGTATTATAAAGGGGAAAAGAAGGAAAAAACAATGAGAAATAGCATGTCTAAAATGAAATAACAGTAAAATACAGTAGATCAATTCAAAATCAATAAGTGATGAAATTGAAATAAAATAAAGATAGCATGTTAAATTCAAATAATAGAAAAGAATTGAGCTAGTGATCTAAATGGAGGCGCATGAAAATTAAGAAACATATTAAAAATATATAAGACTCGATTCGAGGACTAAAACGTAACATTACTAAAATTGACGGATCTCACACACTATTATGGCACTCACAAAACATGGGTTGACTAAGCCACCAATACACTGTCGTTTTAATACATAAACATATATAATATTTTGGGTATCAAATTTGAACCGTAGCCCCATTTACTTTAGCTTTCCTCCTCGCAGCCGCTCTCCATTTCACTCTCATGCGGCGTTGCTCACTCCAAAAGGATCCATGGTTGATGCTTGGCCATCAATCTTCGATGGCCTCTTCACTCCAAATCGACACCTACGTCTGATATTATTAAACCGAGCCCTTCGAGACCCCCTCGCACCATCTACCCTTCAAAACTCACACGACGTTACCCACTCTCTACTATGACAAAAACTGACGATAATGCTTCCAACGAATAAGGTAACCCGATTATAACTCTCTCTATTTTACTTTCATTTTCTGGTTTGTTATTTAATTTTAGACTTTTTTGTTTTCATAAAACTAACACCAGTCTCTATCTCCATCAATTGGACCCCGAACGAATAGGATGGAACCACTAAGACTAAAGGGTAAACAATCTTTCTCTACTCTTTCATTTTGTTTGGTTCGAGCATGCTGATAATAATAATGTAAAATTGGTACTAAAATAAGGGAATGGTTGAATACCTCTTGAAGAATAGGCACTTATGTCCTGTATATCGAAGTAGAAGCCCCTGTTTACTTTCCAAGATCACTTCTATTGCTTTTCGAAAAAAGGTCGAATCCCTTTGTTACATCGTTCAATTTTTGACTAGGGAAAAAGAAAATCTTTACACTCACTGTTTTCGTTTTTGCTCTTATTGTGTAAAAAAATGAAAATGGTCCCTG